ATTTTTTAAACATGTGGCAAGCCTCCTCAATATAGTTCAGTAATAAAGCCTTTCCAAACCCATTTCGATTGGTACTAATCTTTATAAATTGAATTTAACTTTTTAAGCAGATGGCAATCATCTTCGAAACCTAAAAAATATACTAAATGTAAAGGTTTCTTAACACAATTTCGTTTTACACCCATATTCGAGATATCCTTGACATCAAAACAATTTTTTCGGAACTGTGTGTACAGTATATTTTGCTTTGCTGCCTTTATGCTTAAGTGCACATTTAACATACCTACCCCAAAATGCGCATTAGCGGCATTATTTTTAACATTTATAAGGAAACTCCTCCGATATATGCATTCAACATACCTGCACATTGGCGATACCTGCCTTAAAAACTGTGCAACTATTATCAATTATCAAAGAAAGTATTACGTTTACCTGCACTGGCCCCACAATTACCTAATTTTACAAGCTTTTATTTATTTTGCTCATCACGTAAAACAACGAAAATGGCTATCAATTAATGTAGTTATATAGATAATTAGATACCATTCGGTAAAAATTTCGCTTGCAGTAATTTCTATGTGGTAAGTGATCCTCCATTATTTGGTTTCATAGGAATTCCGATACCTTCCTCATTGAAGTAGTAAAGAAAATTCGCTTAAGTGCTTTTTTCGGTTAAGTGCACAAGTTTTTCGTGCAAAGAAAGACGGGCAGCTAAGCAAAATATACTGTATTTAAAATGTTTCTTGCACTAACAGCTTGTTACGTTGCGTAATATCTAATCTAGTAAGTAAAATAATTTATTTTCTTGCTGCGTTTGCTCGTTTTATTGGACGCCAGATGTCCGGCCATAATCATGATAATGGCGAAAATAGTCACTTAGAAGGAATTTATAGGCTTTATGAAAGAAGTATCAAAAAATTTCATTCAGAAATACTCACCGCAAGGTATAAAGTTTCAAACTATATTTCAAAAGAACCGCTGGAGCATAGCAAGTTTACCTTCGAAGAGTTCAGTAATCTTTTAATTAGAATAGAAGCCGATTTAAGCTCACAGCCCTTTCCTGGTTCATCGCACGGTGCTCGCCGCCGTACCTACACTCTACTCTCGGCTTACAAGCCAACCAGGAGCTCTGTATGGATGCATGCAGAGGTGCCACCTTTATGGCAGCCATTGGCTAAGCACGCCTACACGCATCCTGAATAAATCCAGATTCTTGCATAGAAGCCTACGGCAGCTAGAGCAATGACTATCGATAGTTTCCCACCACTAGTATTCAGTTTTTTATCATGCCAGCTTTCGGACGAATGCAGATATGCTGAACGAAAACAGTGTAAGTATGTACATTAGGGTGGTCCAAAAAGAGTCAAATCGGAATTTTAATGCCCCTGTCGAAAAAGCATACCCCTATTTTTTATTTTGTAATCAAAAAATATTTAGAGGTCGCTCAAAGCGCTCAAAGTTTTCCATGTATTTTATATGAAAAAAGAACAAATTTTCGTAGAAATGGCTTAGAATTCTTGAAAATAAATATTTAACGATCGGAAAACTCAGGTTATCTTCAGTAGACTTTCAATAGTAATACTAAATTGTTGCTTTAACCAGTTTTTAATACTACTAATGCTAATTTTTTATTGGTCCCCCCATGGCATTATTCGGGTAATGTTATTGGAAATATCCTGCAGAGAAATAGAGTTTTCCGATCCAAAAATATAGATTTTTAAGAATTCCATATCATTTCTACGAAAAGTTGTTTTTTCCCATATAAAATACATGGAAAACTTTGAGGGCTTTGAGCGACCTCTAAATATTTTTTGATTACAAAATAAAAAATAGGCATATATTATTTTGGTATAGAAGAATCCTAGGGGATGAAAGCATAAACATTCCGACTTTACTTTTTCCACATGCATTTTTGGACCACCCTAATGTAGATAATTTAGTTTTTACGCCTTTGTTGCGACATTGGTGTGGCAACCGTACTATTCGTTAATTAGTGTTTAAACGCTTTTTTGTTGTTTATTTTACAAAAACAGAAGGTAGTTAAATTCCTGACTTACTTAAAACGGAACATATCAAATTACGGAAAAGAAATAGTCCATACAAACCAGCTGCATGTCACAAAATTAGAAAATCTTAATTAACTGCTATTAAAAATAGGAAACTGTAGCAATATCAAAGAACACAGCTAATTTCAACTTTCTCTTTTGAACGCATTTCCGGCACGCATTAGGCTTGCATACATACATACATTCATACATACTATGTACTCCCGTTTGCAGTAAAGCACATTTGTCAACTATTTGTTGCAGGTGGTGTACTTGCCTCGACTGACCCTAAAAAAGTTGCACTAGAAAGTAACTTGGCGAAATAAATGACATTGTGACAAGTTGAAATTTATGGAGAACGTAAAATATTTGCTTGCGAATTATTTATCTAAAATTATACTTTGTAAGCAGCTTAGCGATCTAACAGTTTTTTCCTTGACTTTTTTTGTTTTATTTTTTCTTGTAACTTCTAGTTCCGATCAGGAAGCTGATGTAATTTATTGCAAGTATGTCATAAAGCAAGTATATATGTATGTATGTACTTAATCAAAGAATGAATGAATTAATGTATCATTCAATATGTGGATGTTGAGAAAAGAGGTACATGCCACGCCCATCATCTAGGGCGTGTAGTTAATTAACCGCATACAATGTAGATTGCAAATTTTCTTTAAGTGCTCATACGTGCACATATACACTTAGGTGCGTATTTTATACTATATTTCCATGCGGTTCAACTCCCCACCCTATAATTGCTCTATTAATTTTCAACTAAACAGTCGACTATTGTTTCCCTCCAGTACAATTAAATACAATAAAATTAAAATTTGCATTACCCGTTTCGTTCGTGGCTTTGATTATAAAATTATATGACAACATTCACTCATACAAGAATGTCAACAGTTTTTTGACCCCTATGGGTGTGGGCGCGCAGCCAGATATTTACGTACACTCTAAAAAGTGCATGTAAAACTACTACTGAAAAGTGTTTATTTTTCAACCAGAATCTGTGTAAATATATGCACAAGATTTGATTTTGAATATGAGATATTTAAAATATATACATAAATATGCATGAAATGTTTAAACTTGAAAAAATTGTTTAAAGTAAAAGTAAATTGTTTACTAATAATAAATAGAAAGTGCTCATATTTACTCAATTTTAAACATTTTATGTGTAATTTTGCTCTACGCGACAAATTTGGTATGTAACAGTGAATAGCCAGTGTTTAATTTTATTACACGGGGTGTAAATTTGCAAAAATTAGGAGAGGAAACTGGTTACCTCTCTTTATATGCGTAAATTTCAACAAAAAATTTTTTAGAATGTACATTCAAGAGATCTGTGCTAGTATGTAAATTTTACATTGTAAAAACAAAAAGTAACAATCATTTCTAGCTAACACTTGCGTGTGGTAGTTAGGGATGGAAAATGAAATCTTCAAAATGAAGAGGGACCATGTCTATCCAAATAAACCAAATATGGTTAAGCAGATTGAGCTCAGTCTAAGTTAAGAGGAATATTTTTGAGCCGTTCGAGAGCAAACTAAATTTTACAGAATCGCGCCAGCTCTGAAAGTATAGAATGCGGGTCGCATTACTACAACCTGGAGAAAACGGAGGCATCCTCTGTGACGGAAAGACCAGTTAGATACGAATTTGGCTTCACTTAGCATTTCTAATTGGAGTCAGTTGACGCATAATACTTTATTGGACTCGGCCAAAATCGCTTATGCGATTACAGCGTCAATCAAGAAGAAGTAGATCTATGAGCATTAGTGTTTATTATGAATTCCTGTTGTTGTTGTGGTAGCGTCTTTCTTAGCCCTGCCTAGAACGGTTTGTCCCTTAATCGTTGTCGTCAAGGTCAACCAGAGAAAGACCCAACAACCGTGCCACACCGGCCGGGTTGGACACGAGGGAGTGGGACGTTAGTTGAGTTTGGTTTTGCGGGCATGTGAAGAGATGCTTAGAGTCGTGCAGAGACTTGACACATGCCGGACATATATTATAGGCTGGTTTTAACTATGCCATATTTTGACGACAAAATTTGTCGATATAGTCTGACACAACTTTATCTCCTTAATCCATACCTTTAGCGATTATATTTTGGAGCAAAAATACAAATCTACGATGATTTTACAAATCGACGATGCGACGATGTGACGATGCCGAGTACCTATGCTACTTTCGCATAATGGTAATCACCAGAGGCATACCCGTACGATACTAACATAACCGTGCAGGCCACTGGTACATATGTATGACGAATAAATCTTGCTTCAAGTCAAAACAATATTTGTTATGCAAATTAATGTGTCACAAACGAAATGCTTTGATTTAATTTTTATTCGATACGTTTGACATCAGAAATATTTAGTTTATTTTTTTTGTTATCGGAAATAGTTCGCTAACCCCAGATTCAAACGTGTTGTACATATGTGCGTATGGATATAAATATATTCTTACATACATATACATATATCTCGTTATAAGGTCATAAATAACAAAAAAAAAAACAAATATTTTAATTAAATATGGTTTGTTTTTTAATTTAATTTTCCTTTTGGTATACAATTTTGTTATTTTAAGAATAAAAATATATTTTTTTATATAATTTCATTTGTAAGATCTTATATTTTTTCTTATTGTTTAACCTATTTTAATTTAATGTAGCTTTAGTTTTTAGTTTTATTTAGTTAATTTTTTAGTTTTAGTTTATTTTATTTAATTTTTAAGTACTATTTTCTTTTGTTTTGATTAAATTTTTTTTCGTTTTTCTAATGTTACTTTCTTTTAATTTTTAGATTTTATTGTTTTAAAAAGAAAAACATACTTTTTAATATCATTTAATTTTTAAAAATGTTTTTGCTTTCTATATTTTTTTTTTTAAGATTCTTTTCTTTATAACTTTTTATAATAAACTTAATATTCTTCATTTTCTTCTATCTTTAGTAACCAAAGTAACTTCTGATGGCGAACCACATGAGATGATGACAATGATTGCCGGCCTTTCGGGCCTCTTCGCTGCCATGGTCATACTGGCTGTGCTAATATCTTTAGTCAGCTGTAAAAGCGGTAAAAAGTAAGCGAAAGGAAATTTATGTTTGCATTAAAAAAAAATATTAAATTTTTATTTTCCCAACTTTCGCCAATATTCTAGACCTAAACATTGCAAAAATTGTCCGCGCACAGCCAATGCAAATGGCAGTGTTACACGCAACTGCACGCTGAATGGCAACAATACACCCGCAAGCCTTGAGGAAGGCAATTCGGTGTCTACGACGCCTACACACAATTCAGGTGTGTCGGTAATTTCCACAGGCGGCAATCTATCGGGTAACCTGAACTCAGCTTTCATGGATAGCGAACTAAATTTGGCCAACACCTTGAAGAAGCCGAAGAAGAAAACACACTGGAGTGATGAAGTGGATGCAGCAGGACACATCAAGGAAACAGCTGTAGATATCGAGCGGTTTTGAAGGAATGTGGAATAAGGTGAGAGTAGCGTGCCATTCAACGAATGTATGCGCATGCGCGGATTGACATTTCGGCTGGTCGCAGCAATCTGCTATATGTGAAGACTGATTGGGGGAGGTTTTGGCCAAAGCTTCTTTCGTTTGTTTTAGTTTACTCGCAAGATGTATACCTAACAATTGAAAAAATATTTGTATATTAAACACACACGTTTACCTGATATAGCATGTAAATACATATGTACATAAACATACATACTTATAAATACTTGTAGAATTTAAATATGTATAAGGCAAAGTTAATCTCTGCACACGCATTTTAATTTAGAAATTATTATTAGCGATTATTTTAAATATAAAAAAATACGATATTTTTTCTTTCAACAAGTCAAAGTTTTATTATAAAATATACTTGCTAGTTTTTATAAGAATACACAAATTACAAAAAAAATATTTGTAAAATCACATAAATAAATGTCTTTTTCTTCTAATATTGGAATTTGTATGGCCGCAGCTGCTATTTAGTTTAGTTCCTAGCACCAACAACCATTGCTAACAATGCCATGCGCACATACATACCATACTCCGCTTGACGGAAGTAGGCTGCACGTGGATCCGAGTCGAATTCCTTGCTAATCTCGAACACGCGTGGCAATGGATGCATGACAATCGTGCGGCGGCTAGCGAGTGTCATTAGTTTGGGAGTAACAACAAAGTGACCGCAGGCCTGGAAAAAGATAGTAGACAAATTTTAATTAGTATTTAAATAGTAATGCGGAGAAAAAAGTAATACATTAGTGATGCCTGATGACTGTGAATAGTGATAATTTGTTCCAATGAAGTGAATTTGTAAATGTAAAAATAGTTTTAGGCGAATGACAACAACAACGCTTTTTGTCATACTTTCTTAACCTGTGGAACTTTGCTTGCCATCGGCTAGCTCGTTAAGGAAACAACTGCATCGAGTTTTATTTATTCGTCTAGGTATAGTAATAATATACAGGGTTTCCTAGACCACCCGTCCACCCCTTCTAACAAGTCTGGAATGCTCTATATTTTGATGGTATTACCAACTTCTGGTTTCGACCGAAAAGTATCAAACAAAAGTTGGACTTTCGGTAAGTTTAGTCGTCTTCCGGTCTGGACCGGAAGTCGGTAGTACAACTAAAAGACAGAGCACCTCCGGCTTGTTAGTTCATATTTTTAGTATTTCAACAAAAAAAAACATTTTCCTCCATTTTAAAAGGGGTGGACGGATGGTCTAGGACACTCTATATCGTAAGATTACTCTGTACCAAGTCTAAACTTCACAAAGAGTTATAGGAATCCTATTCCAGATAGAGAATTTTAGTCAGCAGGGGCTTGAATACTTGAAGGTATAAAGGCATACCGCTGGCTACCTTAAAGCTCATTATAGAGGATATATCTGAAGTGACAGGTGGGCCGCTCTCACCACTTGCATTGCTGCAACTTATGTGGCCCACATGAAACGAGAATGGGCCAGATGATCTCTTCATGTTGAGTAGAGCGGAATTATTCGCAGCCATTGGCCTGCTAAAAGGTCATGTTCCCATCGGAAGGCACGCAGTGAGGTTAAGGGTTCCCCACAACGACTTCTGCAAAAATGTATAAGAGCCTTGCTGCATCTGCGTTGCATTTGTCCCACACTTTGTAACATGGGTTCAGAGTTTTTCGAAGATTTAACCGACATTGGCGGAATAATAGCCGAAGTAGGCGTATGGCAATTTTTTGGGTTTCGCAGACTCATTTCAATGGACGGAGATTTCTAGCGATTCTCCATTTAAGTGCCTAGGTGTGGTAGTGGAGTCACCCTGCAGCAAAATTTAGGGACAGTCTGGCAAAGCGCTAGTTTCGCCCTACAAATTTCAGAACTGTCTCTGAACTACTGAAAAAGGGATGCAGAGTTGGACGGTTGAAACTCATATGTTGCTAGTTGCGCTGTCATCAATGTTACTCATCCTGGTCATGTGAAAGCTGACAAAAGATGCACAAATGTAATATACTATATTTTTTCGATTTTCTTAGACCCTAAAAGTAATAACAAACGGTTTTCGTTTATTTAATATGTAATTCTCTACATAGTTTATGGGGCAACTGCTCAAATATTTCCAAAAAAGTCGTTATTGGTACATTAATGTCATTTTTATACATATCTACGTACGTATGTATAAAATACGAATAAAATCATATAAACCGTGTTTTAAAACTTTATACAAAACAAAGTTAAATTTAACGATTTTTCGTCAAAATGTTTGACCTTTTAATCAGATGTAAAAAAATTTGCAAAAGTGGTAAACAATCTCACTTTGAAATGGGAGTGCTATTCATATGAACGATAATGTACATACGTAAATGTATCACTAAGCCCCCGAAATGTGTAGTTATGCATTGATATTTTTTTAATTTCCAATGTTCTTCATTTTCAATATTTTTCGTTTAGTTTTTATTTAAGTACTATGTCTCATACTCCATAAACCATTTAAATTCAAATTCCTAACTGTGCTGCAAACTTATAGAACTCTAAAAACCGTCTTCAAAATTTCAAATTTTTAATCAGATATTTTTTATAAATATTTCGAGTATTCTGTTTTGTAGCCCATAAAACTTTAGTGTAGTAAAGTGTAATCTTGCATCTTAAACGAAAATATTTAAATAGGAGAATGCCTTCAAGAGCGTGCGTAAAAAGTGTTATAAAAAATCAGCGCGATTAATTATACTAAAATTTAATGGGCTATAGAACTGCATACTTTTAAACTCTGATTTAAAATATTGAAGTTTTTATAACAGTTTCTAGAATTCTATTAAATTTCCAACACAGTTAGAAACGTGAATTTATTTGTTTATGTTATAATACTTATGAGCCATCCTTAAATAAAAAATTTACGAAAAATATTTAGCATGAAAACTATTGTGAATATTCAAAATTCTATATTTCTTATGAGATGCCGGAAAGTCTATGTATTACATTTCAATAAATTTAATGCAATTTAACGCTGAGTTATCACGAATAATCATTCAATATATCACCGTTTTTCTCATTTTTTGACACGACTTAGTTCAGATTTTTAATTATAGGTATCCCAGAAATACCCATTATACGTAACAAATATAAATTATTTTTAAGAATAACGGTTTTAGAAAATAAAGGATTAATTGACACTTTATGTTCCTAAATTTAAAGCACAGTTTGCGTCAAAAAGTAAATTAGTTCAAAACAAATAGCTCTTGAAACATATAATGAAGTATTTTTATTTACAAAATTGTATGCGTGCTTATTTAAAGAAAAGGCTCCATACTATACTTATTAGAACCAGCCCAAAACTAACCACATTTTTTCTAGCCCGGAGGTGACCCTTTTTGAACTATCTAAGAACTGTTGTTATATGAACTGTATCAGAACCATCTAAGCCAGAGTCAGCTCAGAACAAGTTCAAAAGTTCTGCAGAAGGCGACAATTGTCACTTCGTAGGACGTCGCCATGTTAAAAAAGAAGAACCAGTACCGTCCCTTTTCAGGCTAGCTCTGCGCAAGTTCTGAACCAGTTTGATTTGCTGCAGGGCACTGACAGACACTTCAAGCTAACCCAACCTATGGGTTTCGCAGACTCATTTCAATGGACGGAGATTTCTAGCGATTCGCGTGGTATCACAACGGACTCTCCATTTAAGTGCCTAGGTGTGGTAGTGGAGTCACTGACAGACACTTCAAGCTAACCCAACCTATGTAGTAATAAGACAGTCCCATAAATTGATTTTTGTTTATCCAGCAAAAGAAATTGAAGTCAGAGTTCCAAAGCTGTCTCATAAAAATATATAAGCAAAAAAGTGGATATTGCTTTTGTCCGTCAAATAAGGTGAGTTCCCCGTAAGACGACCTCTTCTAACTGCTTTGAAATAATGAAAATCCGAAAGTACCCTCTGCAGTATAATCCAAAAAGACCTGCACCAAACGAAAGTTTGGTTCCAAAAGATGGGGCTCAAGACGATATTTCGGGAAATGAAAAATATAATCTTAAATGGAGTTCAGTAAGACTTATCCTGAACACCAAACTTCTAAGAAAAAAGCACGTCAACGCAACAACATCCAGAGCAACGTGCAAGCGTCTAGCGGTCGAACGCAGCCCGAAAATTTGTATATAGATATACACCATGATAGTTTGGCTGTTAAGAACTACCTTAGCACAGTCACTCACAAAGCCATAAACATAGATCAGCTGGCAAAACGAACTCGATACTTTTGCCAAACGAAAGTCCATATCATTTCGGAACATGAAGAATTAGGGTTCTCAATTTCCGCTATTCCTACTTCCCAGAGAAGTGATTTAATATAGAATTTTTTGGTAAGGCAACTTTGGGCGTCATTCACTGGTGTATAGACTGCTTGAAAACCCCAAAAGCATGGAAATAGGCACCTGGGGTACTAGAGCTACGATGTCGCTACTATTGGGAAAGTACCCGAGCATATTTAAGCCAAAAAATATGCCATTGACCTGAATACAGATACTAAATGGAAATTTCCTTAGAGCAAAATACTTTTGACGAGCCTTAATTTACTGACATTAGGCTGGTATGTTAAGGTGGTACGAACTAAGTATTCGAAAGAAGTAGTGGAGGTCATCGAACTTTGGAACAAAGATATGACGAACAAGTTCTTTTTAAACAAAAAACAACCTACTGAAGTTTTGATATCAAAATTTAAGAGTACCGTTAGTTTTTCATGATCCAGTGGTCAGAACTAAACCATATTAGTTTACATACATAAAAAAAATATCCTGATGAATTGATAGCCTCCCCCCTTCTTGAAATCGGTTAAAAACGTAAAAAGTGTCCCTTAACCAGAATGTGGAAAAAATTTTTTGATTGTGGCCTTCTGTCCCGTGTAACATCTCTAGCGGCACTTTTTGATATGTTCTTGAAACCTCTTTGCACTTATTATTCCGAGGAGAAAAGGCTCTTATTCCCCATACTACAAGCTCTATTTTGAACCAAAAAGTTATGGATTCATAAATTTCGGCAAGACTCAGTTATCTTACTATATACATATATACTATAAAAACAACTTCATAGTTATAATACTTTTCTTACCTTTTGGTATTCTTCTTCGCTAGCGAAACGTTCTTTTTGTATGCGGGTCATATATAGTACATCTGTGGTTGGCAAGGCATCTTCCATAGAACTCATAGTTTTCTGCAGTACACCTTTTGAAGCTAAGTAGCGGACGATTTCCTCTGGCATGCCGAGATTCGGTGGACTCACATATTGTAGTGTAATATTGTAAAGTGTTAGCAGACGAGCCAAAGAGTGTACTGTACGTCCATGCTTCAGATCGCCGACCATTGTAATTGTGAGACCGTTCACGGTACCGATTTCCTCGCGTATGGTAAATATATCTAGTAGTGCTTGTGTTGGGTGCTCGCCTACACCATCACCGGCATTGAGTATGGGCTTGCGGGAATGATTAGCGGCTCGCTGTAATTTGAAGAGAGATTAGCGATTATACATATATATGTATACATTGGATCAAAATATTTAATTTAACTCACTGAAACTGCGCCGGGTTCCGGATGACGCAGCACAATGACATCGGAATAGCCTGCCATTACTGCGATGCTGTCTTCCAAAGTTTCACCTTTCTTCACCGACGAACTCGTCTGATCCATGTAAATAACCCGTCCGCCGAGCCGCTGCATGGCCGCAGCAAAACTACAACTGGTTCTGGTGCTTACTTCGTAGAAAATGGAAGCCATGATTTTTCCACGCAAAAAGTCATCCAATGGGCGATCTTTTGCCACACGACTTTTCAACATTTGCGCCAAATTGAAGATTTCATTCAAATGCTCCTTGGTGAACATATCCACGGAGAGTATGTGTTTGCCGAGCAGACTGTGTGCTACGGGACTAATGGGTGCCGCAGCGGCTTGACTCTTGGGCAAAAGCTCACGCAGCATGGAATTGTTGGCGGAGTCACAGCGTATTCGTGGCAAAGGGGATATAGGCCGCAATAAGTTGGGTTCACCTGCAAAGTGCACCTTCGTTGGTGGTTCCGCCAAGAGCTTGGCAAACGCTTCATTTGCCTGTGAATCGGAAAGGAAGTCGAGACTGCGGTCTTGTGGTTTGTCGAGACCATCGATGGATGCGCCGATTTCAAGTGATTCCAACGATTGTTGTAGCAGCGATCTACGCGCATATTGGCCACGGACATTTTGTCCGAAACCAGGTTGCACCAGTACCTCACCGTCGACGAAAGCGACTTCGCCACGCAACACAACGCGGTGCACTTTGCCCTTCACCTTGGTGCCCTCGAAGGGCGTCCATTTCGCCTTGGAATGCATTTCTTCCCTGTTTATAGTCCATTCCTCATCCAAATCCACTTCAATGTAGGTGTTGGGCTGTTCGGGTAGACTGAAGATGCGTTTTGGATTGCGGTAAAATTTATTTTGTATGTCTTCGAGCGTCAAACGTCCATCGTCTACAGCCTTAAGTAACAATGGAAGTATGGTTTCCAAACCGGGAAAGCCTGGCGGTGGCTTCTCGGAGTTCTTTTCCTCCCACGTATGCGGCGCATGGTCAGTGGCAAATACATCGATGTAATTCATATTGTCCCACAAGGCCTGCTGATCCTCGGGTGAGCACAATACTGGTCGTACTTCTGCACGTCCGTCACCTATGGCCGGTATGTCGTCAGTGGAGAGAAATAAATGGTGCGGACAAACCTCACAGGTGACGCGTATGCCCTTTTCTTTTGCAGCACGTATCAACATAATCTCTTCCTTGCGTGCAATGTGGCAAATATGCACAGGACGATCGAGCAGATGAGCCATAAGTATAACGGAGCCCATTGTTTGTCGTTCCGCATGACACACGATTGGCGCACGCTTTGGCCAATTTTGCATGTGTTTCTCCCACACAGTCATATCGGTCATTTTCAGTGTGCTGAATGTGTCGTTGAGATACATTTTCAAGCCACACGCTTGTGAAGCCAACTCACCAATGTGTTGCCAGTTGGTGTCAGAGGCGCCAACATAGAGCGCGTAGTCGCAACGCGCGCCAGCTTTAGCCAAATCTTGGAACATCTGGAAGCTATTACGATCGACAATCGAAGGATTGGTATTAGGCATAGCACAAATAAGTGTAACACCACCGGCCAATGCGGCAGCGGTGCCGGTGGCAAAGTCTTCCTTGTGCGTAGCACCCGGCTCACGTAGATGAACGTGGACGTCAATAAAGCCGGGCAGTTTGATGATACGACGCGAGGTCATACAATCGGTGTGGGTTTTCATGGCTGGACGACGACCAGTGATGCGCATCGATTCAACTAAAAGTTTGATGCACTTGACATCGGTCACCAATGGAATGGAGTAGTCGACAGCGAGGCGACGTGTACGATAGCCATGGGTCATGAATGAAGATACTCTAGAGAAAGTGCGATCGAGAAAAAGAGATGAGTGGAAGACAGGTTAAGAACCTTATTTATTAAAGTGGAGTTTGATGGAATAGGTAAAATAATAAATTCACTTGAAAAAAGTAAAACAAAATAAAAAATATAATGAATGCCAGACTGGGGTCTATTTCGATGTTTTAAGAAAGTCTCAATGTTAAAACGTCATTTGGCATGTATTTTGATCTATCCCGTAAATTTCTCATAGTCTATTCGCAGCTTAATTCTCACCTTCTTGCGCCGCCACCACGCATTGGCAGATTAATAACCATATCGAATTGTTTATTCGCCAAGAACTCAGCCAAGTGCCGAAGCTCACCATTGGGATCTTCAGGCGATTGCTTATCAAAAGTCCACTGAACAGATTCCACCTGTAAAAGATAAGAAGTTATTTTATAAATATGAGTTTTTTATAAATATACTGATATGTAGTTTCTCTTGAGAAAATATGTAAGTACATACATATGTATGCATATAAATAAGTTTGTAACCAAATAGTACATATCGGTAATATAGAAAGGCCCTAACTAATTTTCCTTCAAAATCCAGTTTGCCCAAAGCGGTAAATTAATAACTTACATCCTTTTAGAATTTAAAATAACTAATACAGCATAAAAGTAGAAACAGTCTTATGTACTATATAAAAATGAATCCGTTAGTCTCGCTAAAATTCGAAACAGTTTGACCTATTTGATTAAACTTGGATGGTTTCAAACCAAAAAAAAAAATAGAGAGTTGCCACCTGTTTGTTAATTAATGAGATAAGGTAGATGTTGCAATATGGGCTTCAAAAGAAAGTAGTTTGTACGGCTTAGAGTTGAAAAGATTTTTGAGAAGGATTGCCACCTGTTTCAAAAATAAATTTAATTAATTTAAATTGGTAAGATAAATAAAATATTGCAATATGGGCATCTAACTAAAAAGGTTTAAGAAAGCTTGCTTTTGAAAATATTTTTGAGCAGCGCTGCCACCTGTTGAAAAATTTAATACAACTACATAGATAAGATAAATTAAATAATGCAAAATGGCTATCAAACTAAAGAAGTTTAAGAAAGCTTACAGCTGAAAATATTTTTGAGGTGGGTTGCCACCTATTATGAAGATTTAATTCAACTCAGTTGTTAAGATAAACTAGGTAAGTATATATTACAATATATGTAGGTATCAAACGAAAGGTATTCGAAAAATTTTTGATTTAGAAATACATATTTTCAATAGGCCTGTCACCTATCTCAAAACTTAAAGCCATACTCGCCAATATTATTCGAAGCTTTTGAGGCTCACATCAATGTGGAATACTGTAACTCTGTCAAGTTAGAGTTTATTGATGTCAAACAAAGTATTATCATATTTAGGTATGATATGATGACCCAATCGAACAGTGCATGATGCACTCAACCACGAGATACAAAGAAAACACAGCCGAAGTACTAGCCGAAGTGGTTCGTTCAAATGTTCCACAATTGAACCAATAACAAAAAAATGCGTACGACTCTTTGATAGCAGCTGTCGACACTGTAAATAGTGGAATTTACTTCCTGGATGCTCCCGCAGGGACTGGAAAAACATTATTAATTTCACTGCTACTGGGGAGGATACGATCGCAGAATGCAGTTGCTTTAGCATTGTTAGAAGACGGGCGAACGGTGGCAGGTAACAAAATCAACGGAGATAACGTCAATTGACACAATTTCGCATACTGGTGCGAAATATAATCAATTAACATTATAACCTTTTCAAAAGCGAAGTAAAATTCGTTCGTTCCGATAATAAATAATACTGGTTTACAGAAAAAATGTTCAATGGATGCGACTATCCAATTCCTGTACAGAATTGCTCGCTGATTCCGAAAATCTACTTAATTTTTTATTCTATGGATAAGTTTTCAAGATATTTTTAATTTACCGTTATTCAGCTTAAAATAAAAAGTGGTTACACTTAATCACGTATATCTTACGAACCAATTTAACATTCTTAATATGCGAGCCTGTAATTTACGTTAAGTTGCCATAATCAGATCATCAGCCTTGAAATTGCCACTGAACATGCAACTCAACGAAACACCAGCTTGCAACGTCGCCAAAAACAGTGCAATGGCGAAGATTCTACAGGTATGCAAATTCATCATTTGGGACGAATGCACGATGGGCCACAAGATGTCACTGGAGGCACTGGACAGAACTTTGAAAGATCTTCGTAGCAACCAAAACATTTTTCGCGGAGCCATCATTCTGTTTCCAGCGATTTTCAGTCAGACACTTGCAGTTATTACACAATCGACTGCAGCTGATGAACTAAATGCCTGCTTAAAATTATCCAATTTGTGGCGTAATGTGAAGACGCTCCCATGCGGGTGTTTTTGTAATAAGATCAAAGTGCGGAGATGTTTTCGAAGCAAATATTGGGCATTGGTCATGGGAAAATGGCTGTCGCACCTCGACCGAATTTTTCAGATAACGCACAGATTTCGGCGAAAAGGATTTAAGCCTGAAATTACACACTCTTGGCTGCACTATGGACAGAGTAGGGGACTAAATATTTGCGATCGTGTGGATCAGCGAAGCTAATCTAACCTAACCCACTTTCATTGCATATTATCTGCATTGTCATTTAACTCAGTAGAATTACTACGCCTGTTGTGTACTACATATCAATATTACTTCTCTTTATAAGGTGCCTTTATGTACATATAAGTATGCCCTTGATACAGAATGGCATTGAACTAAACAGAAGTGCTAGAATACACATATCGTTTTATTTAAACAAGAGATTTATGTCCATTAAACCAATCGAACGACTTACATACATACGTACGTATGTATTTACTTAGCACGAGTATATTGACAAGTGCATCAGCAAGGCATATTTTTGTATATTTGTGACTAATTAAGCTTGTGCCAAGTAGATAAAATAAAAATCACGCAAACTAGAAAACCAATAAGAAATTAAACAACCACAAGTTAAATGAAATGACAACAGAAATTATCAATTACATAGAAAATCAAGTCAGACCATAGCGCAAAAGATGCGCATAGCAGTGGCAATTAAGTTAACTTGAATCGAAACACAAGAATAACTAATAAAAAAAAAAATAAAAAATTAAATGCATTTCGATCAATGATTGCAAAACGTATTGTCTTGCCCATCGATTGCTATCTCTGCAAGCTTTTTGCTTTAGTAGAAACGAGACCGGCAGTGAAAGCGCACAGAGACATAAAGTAAAATTTTTAAATTTTATTAAAAGTCTTGTTCATAAAAAAGTGAATCTCTGAAAATTTACTAGTTAAAAACAATTAATTAGGGAGAGTGTTTTGGCGCTGCACCAACGCAATAAATAGGAGTAGAAAAAAAAACACAACCACAACTACAAAAAAAAATGGGCCGGTCCAGCTCAAAGCTGTTGGAAACGCCCAATAATCCTTTGCAAGAACTTCAATTGGAGGAGCAAAAGCGTGAACAACGCAAACGCAAGCAGCAGAAGCAACAAAAACAAATTGCGAAATTACAAAAGAAACAAGCGAAAAAGACAAGATGCAAACGGAAATCGGAAGGAAAATGTGGCAAGGACATCGCCGAAAAGCAGATTTCCATAAAAACGAAACGTGCCAGCGGCGGCGTAGCGGAGCGTACAAATAGTCTAAATTCCCAAAGTACCAGCTATGAGATAAATAAAGAAGAATTCAATAGACAAATTGAGCAACAAATACAAAATCATCTGGATAATGATCTCTGTACATTCGTATTGAATCAAGTGTCCTTGACGCAACAGTTTTTCGGAAACTATGAAACGTAGGTATAGTGAGTGAGCGATAAACGACAAGGGGCTTCCCTAGTAAAATTTATCAATCCTCTTACGACTTTCCAAATTTTCTGTTTTACGGGGTTTCTTGAAGTGAGGGTCAAAAGACCCTTTCAGGTGGGAGGTAATGGGTTAAAGGGTTCTATGAAAATATTTCCCATTAAATTTTACTATATATGTCTTAACCTTTAATTTCGATCAGACATTTATTTTAAATATTTTTTTTGAACTTTTTTTAAACTACTCAGGCCAAGACATGAAAACTTTAGGGTTCTAATTTTATAGACACCTTAACGTTGGTGGCATGGAGTTTTTGCCTGCGAAGCCCCTAGTAAATTGTGCAAAGAATAATTTCTAGAATTTATCAATCGTCTTACGACCTTCCAAATTTGCTTTTTGCAGGGTTTCTTGAAGTAAGGGTCAAAAAGATATTTATTTTAAAACTTTTCGACTTGGCGTTCCTATTTATATTTTCGCCACTGTATCTTACTGCAATTGTTCAATTTCATTGACAGTTTTTTCTCTGCGTATATATGTATGCTTTTTTACAAGTTCTTAGACACGACAAGGGTTACCTTACTTTTTAGAACACATCAGGCTTTCCTCTAGGATAGATCAAGTATCGATAAAAGGTACACCGTCCATGTCCCCTGCCAGCCAGGAATCAAATGTCGAAACTATGCAAAAATTTATGTTTCGGGTAGCAGCAGAACTGGTCACAAATTTGTTTCTCACATATTTACTTCCGTATATTTGCATTAAAATACTATATATTCTAAAACACTTCTGTTGAATATCCATCAGTGAAGCCGGAACTCCACTTGTATTATTGCAATTTTATCGGCATTGACTTTCAAGTGCATGACTTTTTTTTTTTATAAATTACAAACTCTTATCAATTCCATATCAACTTGCTCTATTTATATCGATGTATGTACCTACATAACTACATAAGTATTCTTACTTTTTTACTGCAGTGAATTGGCAGCCATTTCTGAGGAACTATTAGCCAAAGAGAATGAATTGAATCAGAATCTGGAGGAGCATTCTATACTACTGTCTACGCCCTTGGATGCAGCGGTATCAAAGTGGATACAATACAGGCCAATGTAAGTTAAAATAAACATACATACCTATGTATGTATGTTCATATGTATGTAAGTCGACAGAGAAATTGAGATTGATTAGCAGCCTTTGATTTCTCAAATTGAAGATAGCCGGCTAGGTAATTGAACAAGCGATAACCCTAGTTGATACCGTGGAGCACGAAGCTATAGACTTGTCCGAACAACGCACAATCTGCATCTGCGAGGCCCAAATATTACCAGTAAATCAGGAGAATTCATGCTCCGCCAGAAGTTCCAGGTTTTACTAAATCAATAAATTTTCGGGTGTCGACATTTGTAGGTTTATGTGCTTCGGGGAATCAATAGATAGCAACCATAACAGTTGAAATTTCATTCTGATTTACCGAATCGGTGTAATCAAGTCTGCCAGCTTTCAAAAAGGCTGGACGGGCAAACATTTAATTTCCCTCAAAGTTTGTAAAGAAAAATGCACTGATTTTCAGTT